TTGTTGAGGATAAGAAGTTTGTGTGCCGATACATCACTTTTCCAAATAAAAATATAAAGTTTAACAATGCAATTTGCTGCTAACAAGCATTAAAATGGAAATATATTTTGCTTGCTTTCACTGCAACTTTCATTTGTGGTCTACATTCTGGCATTCTTTGTTTTGTTTTTGTTGTTGTTGTCATTGTTTTTGAGACAGGGTATCACTCTGTCACCCAGGCCAGAGAATAGTGACACAGTCACTGCTCACTGCTGCCTCAACCTCCCATGCTCAAGTGATCCTCCCACCTCACCTTCCCTAGTGGCTGGGGTCACAGACACATGCAACCATGCTGAGCTAATTTTTGTTCTTTGTATCTGAACCAAGCAACAGCTATAGGAAGATTTCTCTTTAATGTTAAAAACTAACATTTTAAAATTTATCAGGACATAAATATCAGAAATTTAAGTAAAACAATCAGGATACAGACACAGAGAAAGACACAGCTACACACCAAAACAAAACAGAGGTATCTTGAATTTCTAAGAATGAGTCAGTCCTGGCTTTCTGATTACCCAGCACAATCATGTTATGAAAACATTAGAAATTTTCATGATGCAAAACCTATCTCTTGCAGATTGGAGTAACCCATATGCATGGTTTCCAACAAACAAGTTCTTCTGTCTACCCATATACATATTACCAGAGTACTTTTTCAAGAACCCTTGTTCTACTATAATTCTATTTTATAGCTCCTAAAAACAACAAACTATGACATTATAAGAAGTCAACTCTAAAATTTAACCCTTAACAAAATCACAATATTATCCCAAAACCTGAGAGGATTTGCTCTCTGAATGATTTGAACAATTCGTTTACTTAAGGTGCAATGTCAGTTTATGTAAATAAGGAAATCTTTATGGAAAACACAAATGTAACCAACTATATAATATAAAATTATCACCTTAAATTATAATTTAATAGTAATAATTGCCAAGACTGTGTGAAAAGCATTTAGGAAAAGTCACTGATTTAATAACATAGTCAATATAAAATGGACTTCTATTTTAAAAGTATCCAATAATAATAAATAATAAAATAATAAAAAAAACAAAAAATAATGAATTTCGATGTGATCAAAAACTAATAGTCATGAACAGGTTGAATTCATAGTTATATATGGGAATATTTTTCAAAAGGTTCTCCCACAAGAAATTATTTATTGTGAATAACAGATTAAATGGGAGTGAGAAAGATGAGGAAAAAGGGGTTGTTCTCAGCTAGGTACTGGCAACATTATTCTGAAAAACAACTAGATATAGTAAATATTTTAGGCTCTGTGGGCCATACAGTAGCTGTTGCAACTGCTTAACTTTACTGTAAACTAATAAGCATGGCTGTGTTACAATAAAACTTTATTTATGGACACAAATGTGAATTTCATATAATGTTCATATGTCAATAAATTGCATTCCTCCTTTGAATTTTTTAAACTGTTTTAAAACAAAACCATTCTTGGTTTGTAGGTTGTACAAAAATGGATGTCAGGCCAGATTTAGCTCATGGGCCAGATTTTATCAACCCCTGTTCTAAATCGTATGTTTAATCACACTCTCAGCCTTCAATCACAATATAGAAATAAAATCTTTCAGCCTTCAATCACAATATAGAAACTAAATCTTTCATTCTCCATATTTTCTGCATCAATTTCCTAAATATTTTATGGTCTATTTCCTATTCTCTTTCTAATAAATAAATAAATAAATAAATAAATAAATTTTCATTTTTAATAGCTATATATATAAAAAACTTTTTTTTTCTTTTATAAGACAATGTCTTGCTCTGTTGCCCAGGCTGGAGCACAGTGGCATCTCAGCTGTCTGCAACCTCTGCCTCCCAGGTTCAAGCGATTCTCCTGCCTCAGCCTCCCAAGTAGCTGGCATTACAGGCATGCAGCACCACACCCAGCTAATTTTTTGTATTTTTGGTAGAGATGGGGTTTCACCATGTTGGCCAGGCTGGTCTCAAACTCCTGACGTCAAGTGATCTGCCCACCTTGGACTCCCACATAGTGCTGGTATTACAGGCATGAGCCACCAAGCCCGGCCTAAAACATTTAAATGACAAGCAAAATAAGATAAATCTTTACAAATGCCATAGGACATTTGCAAATTTTCTTATGTAAGAGGAAATAAAGATCATATTCATACACTGTGAGAATGTAGAATTCACATTCACTGACCACAATACAAATCTAGAATTTTTTTTTTTTTTTTTTGAGACAGAGTCTCGCACTGTTGCCCTAGCTGAAGTCCAATGGCACGATCTCGGCTCACTGCAACCTCTGCCTCCTGGGTTCAAGCGATACTCCTGCCTCAGCCTCCCAAGTACCTGGGACTACAGGTGCCCGCCACCATGCACGGCTAATTTTTTGTATTTTTAGTAGAGACGGGTTTCACTATATTGGCCAGGCTGGTCTCGAACTCCTGACCTCGTGATCCACCCACCTCAGTCTCCCAAAGTGCTGGGATTACAGGCGTGAGCCACCTCGCCCGGCCAAATCTAGACTTTCTTAATGACAAAAAAGTCCCTGTTAGATAATCAAATGGAAACAGATTTCATTTCTAGTTACTTTACATAACAAAAACACTATATAACATATGACATGATGAGTTAATGGATGCACGCTTTGAGAAACAATACCTGCCAACATTTAAAATTTTAAAAAGACACTATGTGCCTCCTGATGAGAAAATACAATGGCACCTACAGTCCTATCTAAGGGATTAAGTTTAAATGCAATCAAACTCTGACGCTACCTGCCAACTTAGAAAAAAATATAGAACAAAATGTTTAACTTCGCCATGAATACAAGATGGACAAAATACAGATTGCAGGGAACTCAGCAGGTCAAACAACTCAGGTACTTCACTGAATAACATATAAAGAAAAGAAAGGGCTGGAGGGAAAAACCTACTGCTTAAGAAAGTCTTCAAAGGAAAACATAGTCCAGACTCAGTGGCTCACCCCTGCAATCCCATCACTTTGGAAGGACGAGTCGGGAGGATCACTTGAAGCCAGGAGCTCAAGACTAGCCTGGGCAACGAAATGAGACACCGTGTCTCTAAAAAAAATTAAAAATCAGCCAGCCATGGTCCATGGTGGTATGCATCTGTAGTCCTAGCTGCTCAGGAGGCTTAGGCAGGAGGATCACTAGAGCCCAGGAGTTCAAGGCTGCAATGAGCTGTGATTATGCCACTGCATTCCAACCTGGGCAACAGAGTAAAATCCTGTCTAAAAAAAGTGCGGGGGGAGGGGGGGCGTGCAGGGGAGGCCGGGTACCGCGGCTCACACCACTTTGGGAGTAATCCCAGCACTTCGGGAGGCTGAGGCGGGCAGATCATGAGGTCAGGAGTTCAAGACTAGCCTGGCCAACATGGTGAAACCCCATCTCTACTAAAAATACAAAAATTAGCTGGGCGTCGTGGCCCACAGCTGTAATCCTAGTTACTAGGGAGGCTGAGGCAGGAGAATAGCTTGAACCAGGAAGGCAGAAGTTGCAGTGAGCAGATATGACACCACTGCACTCTAGCCTGGGTGACAGAGCAAGACTCCATCTCAAAAAAAACAAAAAAACAAAAAAACAAAAAAACTTTTTTGAAGTGAACATGAACAATTCTAAACTATAGTGTCTAGAGACGCACACTTAAGTGACAAAACCATAAAGAAACAGAAATAGAGCCAGG